ACAAGCACTGCGTGATGAGTCAGAGGTCCACGGGGACTGGCCCGGTGGATTTGCTCCCACTGTAATCCTCAGATCTCCCAGAGCACTAGCCAGCAATCCCCTGCTCGGAGCAGAAAAACTGGGACAGGTAGTGGCAGAGGGGTCTCATCCTTTCCAGAGAAAGAAGAGACGCGATCGCAGCAATGTCATGGTCATACACTTGCAGTGCAGGCATGAACCATCCACGAATGCATCTTCAGCGTGCTGTAAGTCGAGACACAGATGACAGCGATCATGGCCATCATCAGAGGACAGGAAACGATCGTCAAGGAAATTGCTCTTTTTGTGAACTGAAGCTCCCGGAGGAATCACCGCTGAATGAAATGGAGACACCGCTGATGCGCCGTGACGCCAGTCCAAAAAAGCATTCTTTACAAAGGTGAATGACTTTGTATTGCTTAACGTAAACAATACTCGGCTCCGAAGCAAGAATCTGAATGAGTGGATGCACACCTTATATACCTTTATTTCCTGGGGAGTGGCTCGGCATGCAAAATCCACTCGCCAATTCTCATTGGCCTTTTCTCTTAAACTCAGAGGTGATTCGGGCTCCCAAGTAAGACCCCAATGTTGTCACGACATAACTCGTAGTGGCTGACAGAGTGGGAGCAACTGTTACAATAAATGGTAAATTACTGTTCTTCAAAACGACTCTGACGCTTTACACCACTATATATTGTGAAGTGTAATGTTTTAAAGGGTTAACTCACCCAAAAATGAAAATTCTATCATTAATTACTCACCCTCATGTCGTTTCAAACCCGTAAGACCTCCGTTCATCTTCGGAACACAATTAAGATATAAACCCAATTCCAAAAAAGTTGGGACACTGTACAAATTGTGAGTAAAAAAGGAATGGAATAATTTACAAATCTCATAAACTTATATTTTATTCACAATAGAATATAGTTAACATATCAAATGTTGAAAGTGAGACATTTTGAAATGTCATGCCAAATATTGGCTCATTTTGGATTTCATGAGAGCTACACATTCCAAAAAAGTTGGGACAGGTAGCAATAAGAGGCCGGAAAAGTTAAATGTACATATAAGGAACAGCTGGAGGACCAATTTGCAACTTATTAGGTCAATTGGCAACATGATTGGGTATAAAAAGAGCCTCTCAGAGTGGCAGTGTCTCTCAGAAGTCAAGATGGGCAGAGGATCACCAATTCCCCCAATGCTGCGGCGAAAAATAGTGGAGCAATATCAAAAAGGATATTTTTCTCAGAGAAAAATTGCAAAGAGTTTGAAGTTATCATCATCTACAGTGCATAATATCATCCAAAGATTCAGAGAATCTGGAACAATCTCTGTGCGTAAGGGTCAAGGGCGGAAAACCATACTGGATGCCCGTGATCTTCGGGCCCTTAGACGGCACTGCATCACATACAGGAATGCTACTGTAATGGAAATCACAACATGGGCTCAGGAATACTTCCAGAAAACATTGTCGGTGAACACAATCCACCGTGCCATTCGCCGTTGCCGGCTAAAACTCTATAGGTCAAAAAAGAAGCCATATCTAAACATGATCCAGAAGCGCAGGCGTTTTCTCTGGGCCAAGGCTCATTTAAAATGGACTTTGGCAAAGTGGAAAACTGTTCTGTGGTCAGACGAATCCAAATTTGACGTTCTTTTTGGAAAAGTGGGACGCCATGTCATCCGGACTAAAGAGGACAAGGACAACCCAAGTTGTTATCAGCGCTCAGTTCAGAAGCCTGCATCTCTGATGGTATGGGGTTGCATGAGTGCGTGTGGCATGGGCAGCTTACACATCTGGAAAGGCACCATCAATGCTGAAAGGTATATCCAAGTTCTAGAACAACATATGCTCCCATCCAGACGTCGTCTCTTTCAGGGAAGACCTTGCATTTTCCAACATGACAATGCTAGACCACATACTGCATCAATTACAACATCATGGCTGCGTAGAAGAAGGATCCGGGTACTGAAATGGCCAGCCTGCAGTCCAGATCTTTTACCCATAGAAAACATTTGGAGCATCATAAAGAAGACCTAAGACAGTTGAGCAACTAGAAGCCTGTTTTAGACAAGAATGGGACAACATTCCTATTCTTAAACTTGAGCAACTTGTCTCCTCAGTCCCCAGACGTTTGCAGACTGTTATAAAAAGAAGAGGGGATGCCACACAGAGGTAAAGATGGCCTTGTCCCAACTTTTTTTGAGATGTGTTGATGCCATGAAATTTAAAATCAACTTATTTTCCCCTTAAAATGATACATTTTCTCAGTTTAAACATTTGATATGTCATCTATGTTGTATTCTGAATAAAATATTGAAATTTGAAACTTCCACATCATTGCATTCTGTTTTTATTCACAATTTGTACAGTGTCCCAACTTTTTTGGAATCGGGTTTGTATTTTTGATACATCCTGTGAGCTCTTTGACCCTCCCATAGACCGCAAGTGTCCTTACACGATTAAGGACCAGAAACGTAGCAATGAAATCTGTAAAATAATCATACAAAATGGTAAATTGCATACACCATTTACGTTCAGTGGATACTCTCCAAAATGGTGCCAGATTGACACGGAGGAGATGAATTGTTGAATAAAGTCGTTATTTTTTTTCTTTTCCGCACAAAAAGTATTCTCATAAAATTACGGTTGAACCCCTGATGTCACATGGATTATTTTACAGATCTCCTTGCTACGTTTCTGGACCTGGATCATGTAAGGGCACTTGATGTCTATGGGAGGGTCAGAGAGCTCTCAGATTCCATCAAACATATTTTAATTTGTGTTCCGAAGATGAGCAGAGGCCTTACGGGTTTGGAACAACATGAGGAGATTCATTTTTGGGTGAACTATTCCTTTAAGCCTTAATTATTGTTAGAGGTTCCATTTTAAGTAAGTTGTTGAAATATTGGTGAAGGTTTCTAATATATATTATGCAAAGTTAAATTATGTTGTCTTGGACTTGCTCTTTACCAGAAAACTACATTAGCTAGTTTTTAGCCTCTCCTCACAACTTTCAGTAACACCCTTGGTCACCCTTCACCCTTGGTGTATTATTTTTATTAACATTTGGTCAACTCAACTTGTTTATTTTGTTTTTCATCTTTATTGGTTTGTCAACATTTGCCACAAAGTACAGATGCAAACTGTTCGATGTGTCTTTCCACCAACTAATAGTTTTTATACACATACTGTATAAAAAGACACAAACAAAGAGCAATACACACACACACACAATATTGTATATTATATAACTATATTGTAATAATATAGCGCTCAAGTAAACTAACCCCAAGTAAATGAACTAATAATATAGCGCTCAAGTAAACTAACCCTGAAACATATCCTGCTCCGGAGCAGGTTATAAGTTGCTATGGCTACATATGTACCCTGAAATTTACCTCCATTTTTTTAACTGAAAGCTGAGTTCATGCACTTACTTACCCTTAAACATACCCAAGTATGTCACATAACCTGCATTCTAGAATACACCCTAGGGCACTAACACAGCTGGTAAAGAATGCTTTTGTCAGTATGTGCCAGTTAAAGAAACCCTTTCATCTCTGTTTAGGCAGACATCAGTGAGGCAACAGTACAACCAGTCAAAAATGCTTGATTGAGTTGGTGCCGATAGCCTTGTGGGCAGTGCGCCGACATACAGCACCATTGCACTATGGGTGTCCCGAGTTCGAATCCCGACTCGAGGACCTTTCCCAATCCCGCCCCTCTCTTTCCCACTTTGCTTCCTGTCAGTTATGATCTGTCGTATCATAATAATAGGTGAAAATGCCCAAATAAATCTTACAAAAAATGCTTGATTGTGTTGACAGAGTGATAAAAAGGATGGCACATGCATCAAGCAAACTGCCATCTTTCATGAGCATCCATCATCATTACCAATTATCTTGTGCCAGGATGCATTTGAAGTTGTAAATCCACTTGGTTCGGGTAAAAAGATAATAAATCCTGGCAGTGTACATGACCCTAGGTGAGATTCTGCCACACAACTGCTCCGTAGTTGACCCAATGCATCTTGTTTTACTGTGTAGAGATGAAGACTTTAAATAGATTGGTCAGGAGAAGGTCCTTTTCAGCCTTGTTGCTGATCTGAAATATTTAGAGGATTCTGGATTTCAATCTGAAGGCACTATTATTAAAGCAGGGCTTATTGCCATTTGTGGGGATAATCTTGGGTCTCATTGTATAGTTAGTTTAGTTTAGTTTAACGTTATTGTCTGTCCAGATTTCCTGAACAGAAATTCATCTTTGACACTGGCATAGAAAATACATTCTAACAGATAATACTATACATTCACATATCACATAAAAAAAAAACTTTTTAAAAAAAATTAATACAATACAATATATAAGTATGCCCACACATATGCATACACATGTGTACACACACCTACCCAGAAATATACCTCATGATAATACCTCAATTAAGAATTTGGTTGAAAACAGTCACCGCCAATGGTACAAATGATCTTTTATATAGGTTCTTTTTAGCCAGCGGTATATGCAGCCAGCGCCCTGAAGGAAGGGCCTCAAAGCAGGAATGAAGTGGATGAGTTTGGTCTGAATATACTGCTATCGCCTTTTTTCCATAAAGTGTAAAAACAGCTCTTGCATTGTACTCTGTTTCTGGCCGATTATCATATTTGCTTCATTAATTAATTATGGTAATTTATTTTTCTGTCTCATTGTTAAATTGCCATACCATGATACAATATTTTATGTTAAAATACTTTCAATCATCGATCTATAAACAATGGTTAGGATCCTCCTATCGATGCTAACATTTCTTAGTTTCCTGAGTAGACCTAAACGCTGTCTTGCTTTCTTGTGTATATGGTCCACATTTTCCTGGAATGAGAGTTTATCATCAATGATTGTACCTAAATATTTCAAATTTGAAACTTGCTCTACCTTTACACCTTTTATAGTAATTTGTTCACATGAGACGCCAGCCGAACCGATCCTATTTTTGTTCCCACAGCATAGTTCCTTTGTCTTCTCAATGTTCAATTGTAAGTGATTGATCATCAAACCACTGAACAAGACTTTCAATATACTCAAAATAAGTTAAACTGTTCATGTCCAATTGGCAAGAGATTAAAACCAAATCATCATCGTATTTGATCAGGGTGAGATCATCCCTGTTACGTTGAAGTTCATTAATATAGACAGAAAAAAGCAGAGGTGATAACACACATCCTTTTTTAGCCAGCGGTATATGCAGCCAGCGCACTGAAGGAAGGGCCTCAAAGCAGGAATGAAGTGGATGAGTTTGGTCTGAATATACTGCTATCGCCTTTTTTCCATAAAGTGTAAAAACAGCTCTTGCATTGTACTCTGTTTCTGGCCGATTATCATATTTGCTTCATTAACTAATTATGGTAATTTATTTTTATGTCTCATTGTTAAATTGCCATACCATGATACAATATTTTATGTTAAAATACTTTCAATCATCGATCTATAGGGTGTATCAGAGGTGAAAACACACATCCTTGTGGTAACCCTGAATTCAGGACTGTATAATCAGATGAGATTCCATTGACACAGACTCGTTGGGGTCTATTTCTTAAAAAATGTTAAATCCATAAAATCAACCATATAGGTTTTTTTTTTTATTTTAGTACCAGCTGATTTCTGTTGGTCCTGTTTAATTGACAGAGACATTTTGCCAACAACCTTTAAATCTTGGCTTAAAAAGAACAAACAAATTATGCACATAGTGTGCACAACTATTGATCAATCTATAGTAGAAGGCATCAAATTTAATTCTGCTTTAAATTCCCTTAAATTTTTTCATGTGTATGGGGTACTCCCTCCATGCTTTGTGACTCCAGTCGTATCTAGCTTGTGGCCAGATATTTTCTCCTAAAACTCAGTCTGTCAGTGAAGTGCATGAACACAATGGCCAGTTATACAACACAAAAATACAAAATGCAATAAGGGCAGCTAACTGTGTCACTCGGAGTACTTCAGAGGTATCAGGGTTGTTTATGAAGGAACCAAATATACCAATGGCCTTGTTGTTGTTGTTGTAGACCACAACAGCTGTGGGTATATCTTATGAAAAATATGTTATACTCAGTCCAAATTATGTCTATTTGTTACCGAACTGTATGAATCTGTGCTTTTTGTCAGACCTTGGAGTTCACTCTTTGCACAACTCTGATCCAACGTATGTGTGTGTTAATGTTGATAGTCTCTTGGATTACTGTCCTCTTTCCAGTGTATAAAGTGGCAGAGCTTTCTGTGGTGTCATTATATCACTTAGTGTGCTTTTTTTACTTCAGACACAGAGCTGATTCAGCAAGAAAAAAAAAAAAAGAGTTCTCACAAAATTAGACATGAACAGACTTCAAGAAGTGGTCAGTCCTCTTTGTTTTGTGGTGGGTGTTCAGAAGATACAGGACCTTGTGCGAGTAGAGGTGACAGATCTTCAGGACTTCTTATTCCCGATACATTGTTGAAAACTGATAATGGAAATCAAACAAAGAGGTATGGGAAAAAACATATTTTTGGTCATTATTTTCTTTGGTCTTATTTTCTGGGGGGGGGATATGTAATATATATATACAAAACTATTTTTATAGTTTTGTATATATATTTTTTTTTATTTATTATTGTGGTCATGTGATATAATTGTTTTGCCAGTTTCACTGAAAATATGCTAAATAAATTGCTAGAATTTGCCAAAATACACTGCCATTGTTAATTTTTTATTTATTTATTATTTATTTGTTTAGTTTATATTTGTGTATAATATTGTAAAGGTAAAAAATGATATTTGGTTATATTTTTCTTGTGATTATGATTTCATTTAAATGAAGTCACTAAAATACACTGCCAGTGTTTATTTATTATTCCTTTGTTTTTTGTTTTGTTTTGTTACATTAAAGGAAAAAAGAATGCTTGTATATCATTTATACTTATCTTACTAATTCTATAGAAAATGTGGTTGATTAACATAGTCATAAACTAGCAGTATTTTCATTTGAGTAAAACGTTCTAATTTGTATATATGTATGATATATTTTGTGTTGTGTATTTGTTTTGCCAAAGTGACAAAATATATTTGTATGAACATTTTATATGCTTTTTCTTTTTTTTTTTTTTTTTTTTAAAGAAATAACAGTAAAGAATATTGCATTACAGTAATTAATTGCCAACACTTCTGACAGTTATTTATTATAATTCTTGATTTACAGTATGTAACTGTCAAGATTATTGCCAGTTAGTCGCTGTAACAACTGCTGTTACAGTGATTAATTGGCAACAGTGTTGCCGGTTAGTCACCATAATGGCTCGGTTACCGTAATTAACTGGCAACACTTTTGCTAGTTAGTCACTGTTACAGATCCATTTCAATGACTACCTGGCAACAGTGTTGCCAGTATTTTACTGTAAAAAAGCCTGTAAGGTCTAGCAGTGAAATCAGTCACATCTTACTATAATAATCAAGCAATCCTTAAGACCTTGATTAGTTGCTTCTGATGTGTTTATTTAGGGTTGGATCTAAGATCTCTGGGTCATGGCTCTTCAGAAATGGAACTGAATAGTCCTGATTTACAGACTAGCTATCATCTTGTCTCTCCATTGTAATCAAGGATTTCTGAATTTAAAATACCTTGCCCACAGATCTGGCCAGGTTATTTGGATAGTCTTAACTGTGTAGGCTATGGGGTTTTGATAAATTCAGTGTACACACCTCTTTAGTCACAACCACACCACGGATTTGAAAAGTGCTTGTGTGTGTGCATGTGAAAGAAACTATACTTTAGCTGTGGCTCTGATCAGTTCAAATCAGTTCTGAAAATGTACAGTTGTCACATTCGGAAAAGCACATACATTGCCTGATCAAAGCAACATTGCTACAGTATCTATAGTATTCAGTGTGTAATGAAATGGTGTGAATGTCTTCAATGTCAATTCTGAGCAAAGAATATATGGCCAATATTGTAAACGATACTTCATGTAAATGTATAAAGTACTTGTCCTGCAGTCAAGTATACATTAATACCTTTTACCGTGTACTTTAAAACTTACTGTTTTTCTCTTCAAAATGTTCTTAATGAATGCATGAATTGACAGTTGATCTTTTCAGGTCCTGCATGCCACATGATGGACAATTGTGGACAGTCCTCTGCTTCCCTTTCTCCGATGACCTCTCTGATGGACCTCTGGATTGATTTCCTTCCATTGTAGTCACATTTGATAAATTCAGTGTACACACCTCTTTAGTCACAACCACACCACGGATTTGAAAAGTGCTTGTGTGTGTGCATGTGAAAGAAACTATACTTTAGCTGTGGCTCTGATCAGTTCAAATCAGTTCTGAAAATGTACAGTTGTCACATTCGGAAAAGCACATACATTGCCTGATCAAAGCAACATTGCTACAGTATCTATAGTATTCAGTGTGTAATGAAATGGTGTGAATGTCTTCAATGTCAATTCTGAGCAAAGAATATATGGCCAATATTGTAAACGATACTTCATGTAAATGTATAAAGTACTTGTCCTGCAGTCAAGTATACATTAATACCTTTTACCGTGTACTTTAAAACTTACTGTTTTTCTCTTCAAAATGTTCTTAATGAATGCATGAATTGACAGTTGATCTTTTCAGGTCCTGCATGCCACATGATGGACAATTGTGGACAGTCCTCTGCTTCCCTTTCTCCGATGACCTCTCTGATGGACCTCTGGATTGATTTCCTTCCATTGTAGTCTATTCTGCATGTGTTGATGCACTGATGAAAAATGTATCAAAACCTGTTTAATAGTGATTCATATTTATGAAAATGTGCTTCAGTATTAAAGACTATTACTTTACAATAACTATTTTACTCAGAAAAATAGAGGAAAAAATGGTATGCAGAAATGCATATTTATGAAAAGGTGCTTCAGTATTATAGACTATTACTTTACAATAACTATTTTACTCAGAAAAATTGAGAAAAAATGGTATGCAGAAATGCACAAATGAAAGACAACCTAGGACTATTATGTGTTAGTTGTTTTATGCTCTGTTGATATTGATATTTGAACAAAATCCAAGAGGCTGTGTTACAGAAATTTATTTGAAAAATGTCTAACATTCGAAAAAAAGTGAAATGATTCTGGCAACTAAAGAGTTAGGATGTTTCTATAATACAGCCCAGCTGTACAGCCACAGGCCCAGAAATAAAAACACACACATCATCCTATCCTTTAATGTACAGGAAAGTACTATTTTTTATTCCTTCATATTCAAACTTCACAAACAGAGTGAACTTACAATACCTCAGAGAGTGAAAATTACAAAAAAGGTGCTGGTAACATTTACAAAAAAATCATCCTTACTTTGCAACAATCAGTTATTCTTCCACTCTTTTTTTTTTTTTTTTTTAGTCTTTTGCATTAAGGCTTAATACTTCTGTATAAAGTATATGCAAGTCTTCACAGTTTTTCGAAAAAGTCACAATATTATGTAACATAATGAAGCTTTTACGGCTATTTTCTGTTTAATAACAAATACACATCACTGGTAAATATACGTGAAAATACAGGGCTTACTGTAAAATGGCAAGTAATGATACTGTTTGCTGAAATAATTGTTTTTTTCTAAACACATTTGTAAGAAATGTTACATGAGATACCATTGAAATAACTGAAGCAGAAGGAAAAGAAAAAGTAATAATAAACATACAAACAAGGGAGATCGCCTCCAAACTTTGGCACATCCCTTTAAATATTTTCACAAAATATATAAGGTTTTATTTTTTTCTTTCAAATCATATGCATGGAAGTATAGCAAAACTGACATAAAGTGAAATCATGCTGTGTAGTAAGGTGCTAAATTAGAGATATTACAAGGCCTGTCTGTTCCAGACAGGTGAGAATAAGGTGCATTTGTAAGACTGAAAAGCATGTAGGCCTGTTTTAGGTTTCAATAAACAAAACAGAAATAAATTACAAATGCAACACAAACTTACTTCGTTAAAAAAATAGCACAAAAGAACCAATATTAACATGACCAATAGTCTTGAGGCGACCTCATGAACTCATGCCCTCCCACTTATTCAGAGAAACGTGACAGTCTTTTCCACAGACATGTTAAATACTCTAATATCGCATGGTATGCAATATTATATTTGTTTGTATGCGTGATTGGTGTTTCTTTTCAATATGGAATATGCCACTGCAAGACACGATGACGTCGTTGGATGATTTGATCAAAACAAAACGGAACAAAGCAGAGATATTATTCCGGAGATTTCCTAAGCTGCACTAGTTTAGAAGTTAAAAGACACAAGCTCTATCCCTAGAACTTACCAAGGATCACCCTCATGCATACTGCTAAAGTGATGCAACAAGCTTGCTCAAATAACCAACATCACAAAAGCAATTTGGTTTTAGTGCAAACACAACTGGCTGGCTTCAGCTTCTTAATAAAAACAAGCTCACCAAGAAGATTACATGAAGGCACATACTTATGCTTCCTCTAACACGCAACATATTGAGACAAACTGCAACACCTTTCAACAACACCACAAAGCAGTTTTAACTGGAAAGCCACTATTTCCAGAAACCAAAAACCATCACTACGTAGAATTGCTAGAAGTTATTACTGATCACCTATAGTTTCAGTTTCTTCCTTTATGGATACTGACTCTAAGTAGATTTTGTGTGTGTGGATGTCACAGCGGCAAAGCAAAAGAACCGTTCCTATTCATAGCTTGAAACCTGACCGTGACTTTTGATCAATGACAAAACATCCCAGTCCCAGAAACACGGTAGTACTGACAAAGTGTTTGTAAAAGATCAGCAAAAACTCGCTTAATAATAACAAGAAGCAATAAGTATATGTTTGCACTCAGTTGAAGGTCTCTGACTCTCACATCTCTCGCAAGAGTCAAGCAAGTTGGCCTGTGTGAATATTCCCCTCTAAATATTTCATTAGTGTTGAAACACCACCACCAAAAAAAAAAAAACCGTGTCTTCATGTTTCTGGGACAGCCTTCTTCTTTTCCTCAGAGCTTGTAAAAAAAATTGTTCAAGAACAATCACAAGAGGAAACAGGAAGCATATACTTTAATGTACCTAAAACTCGGACATGTTCTATGTGTTTTCTTTAACAGTATTAATATCCAACTTTACAGCCTCAGCATCACCACACATCTCCAATGTTGTTTCTATATAAACAAATAACGCAAATGTCTATTTAAAAAACAAAATAGCATCTTTTAAGAGCACAGAAAGCTTTTGTTGTTACACATGGTTGGTTCGTGTTTATGTGAAGTGTTCTATTGCTATTTATCAAAGAAGACCAAGAATAATTTTAGTGCAAAATTCTTTTCTGGTTTGATAAGTGGTATTTGGGTTTAAGTCAATGAGGATTGCTGCAGGGATCAACTGTGGTTTATGCTTAGTGGTTTCTCTCCGTTGTTGTATTCGCTGAAGAGGTTTGCCTCTTGACATTTTATCATGCCGTTACTTTGCCAAGGGGTTTTCTTTTAAATTCTTAAATTTTCGTAGGTTTTGTGGAATAAAAAAAAAGTTTGTGGAAAGATTAGGGTGATTAAAAACGGGTGTTTTCCCTACAAAAATGGGGTCAATTTAATTTTAGAGAGAGATAGTTGAGTGTAGACAACCCTGTGTAGCTGAACAAACTGAATGTGTTGGTCAGAACAAATCTGTATTCTGTGCTGCTTTGTGTTGATGAAAGCCCTATACAAATCAAATTATAATTTGACTTGGCTTGACTGATGTCTCACAAATTGTTAAAAATTATTCTAGTCCAGTGTTTGACATACAAAAATAAAAGGAAATGGCCTTGTACACACACTAAAAAACCTTATTCTATATCTCTAAACAGAAGGTATTACGAAGCAAACAAACTTTTCACAACAATAATAGAAATTAGACAAACTAACTTTAAACACAAATTAAAATCACAACTGCAGATTTTCGTTTTAAGGTTGTTGTTTGAATACTGTAAGATGTTTAATACCTTTACTACAACAGCTCCACATTCGCTCAGTTTGAATGTTTCAATATGAAAACCAAGATAATGAAATTTGTGAAAATAAATGATGTGCTAGTGCAAGAATAAAACAAGGCTTAAGATATGGCTTTAAACCATGAAAAATACCAAATCTTTTTGAAAACTTAGATTTTTATGTCAGCTAGGTTTCTATGCAGTCAACGCAATTTATATAGCACAAAATAGGGATAAAAGTCTTCCTAATGTGTATCTAAACCAACAGACCTAAATACATTAGCAGAAATAAGCTAGTAAAGAATCCAATGGCATTTTACTACATTGTCTATTTGTCAAGGGGTAAAATTCTACTATGATATGAGCATTTCCAACCAAATATTCACATTACACTTTTACTTTTTTTTTTACATTGATTATATGATATCACTATATGTTAATGGAATTTGGTCCTTAAAGATAAAATGATGGCACTAATGGTGTACTTCCACATTGATTTATATGAAAAGAAACCATTACTAATTTTATTTCATATTTAATTTGATGTTGGAAAAATCACCATTTGTTAGAGTTGTTCTATATATGTCAGCTTTTGGTAAATTAACCTTTAAAAAAACAGTTACGTGCAAACTAAATAAAATTAGGCTTGGTCCATGCTTACAAATAACAAGTGAATCTTAACACCCATTGCATGAAGCAGAGCAGCTGAAATAATGACGAAAGAAAAATATGAGGAAAAATAGCACATCAGTTTTTCTTGCATCAGTGCAATTGATTTGATGTTTGACGTTACTGAAGCAAAAATATTTGCCAAAGAATTAACTTTTACAAATCAAAAACTAATCAAACGAGTCAATGTGGAATGGAAAAATTAGTCTTTTCCGACCATCAACAGTGTTATCATAGCACATATTAATGATGCACATATTTCACGTGCAATCAAATTTGAGTCAAAACCAGTTTCAAGATGTTTTACGCATTGTGTTTCTTTTGACACTGGCATAATTCTTTGGTGTTAACATAAACTTAGCTTCTCCAACTTAACTTTTACGGAGTCCAAGATAAAATATTCATATTAAAAAAATCTTAATTGAATGAATTACGTTCAAATGACTTTAGAAGCTTTGGACTATTCAATTTGTTCGCTTTGTGTTGCTCAAGCAATAGCACATTTGGTACAATACGAATGGTTAAAATAAAGGTTAAAACATTAAAGGATAAAGTCAAAAAACAAGTGAAACTTACGATATGATGAAACATTTCCCAAAGCCTTTTTTAAATAAAAAATTTTTGTTGTAGACATACTGTATTTGAATACAATTTGAATACATCTGTGTTCAAATGAGCAGTTGAATTGCAGCATTTTCATATTAAATTCTCAAAAACTTCAAACGTAATTTTTCTTATATTATGTGCATTTTATATTGTCGTTTACATTTTTAAGCAGTAAAATGCTTAGTTAAAGAAAATAAATTAATACATTGGGTGAAAAAGCTCACTAGAGTAAAACCATTTAGACACTTTAGAGGAGTGTTTAAGTGCATGATAGTTCCTCAAATCAGATCAAAATTACAGATAAGAATGGCATTAGAGTGATCAGAAGTGGGTGCTTACCAAATGAGTAGTTTCTAAGCAGTTGAAATATTTTCTTGTGTGTTGAATAAATGGGGGGGGGGGGGGGAAAAAACACC